GTGCAAACAAGGCCGCCGTTCCCGGAAACTAAAAAGACAGCAGGAGGAGGAACGAAAAGACCACACCAACAGAAGAAATTCAAGAAGGACTCCAGACCGGAGGACGTCAAAGACCAGCCGTCCAGGGGAAAAACGAAAAACGGAAAAGCAAGCAAACCCGACGACTTACTCACGTCCAAGAGGCCAGCATGCAGAGGACGCAAAAGAAAAAATTAATGTGGACGACACTCGGAGGACAGTAAGGAGAAGATTGACGTCCATGAAACCTATAACGTGGGAACAGTTCTGCCAGAAAAGAATGACGGAGTTCCAATCATCGAAAACTCAAAGATAAGTTAAAATCTTCTATAATTTTTTTTTCTTTTGTTCCGAAATGTTATGCGTAAATACGAAGTTCTATGTTTTGACGAAAGTCAATGTGTCTCGGTTGAGACTTAGTTTTGTTTTACTTTATTTAGCTAAGGCAAAAGTATTATTTTCTTTAAGTATAAAATCTAAGAACAAGCAGTTTCTGTTGGTCGAAAGACTAATTCTGTTATGTTAAAGCCAAAATTTGGCCGAAGATAAAAATAACTTCGTATTCTTGTATTACTAAGAACTTCAGTTTCAGTGCCGCCAGCTTGGCGAAGAATGAGTAAAGTAAAAAAATTATTTTTTTTCTCTTATTCATTTTATGGTATATTATAAAAATCATATGTATTAGAATTTTGTAAATATACGTAAATACTTGAAAGTTATGTAAAAGTAGAATTTAGTGTAGAAGCATAAAATTTTAGATGCTAAAAGTAAATGCTCAAAAGCAATGAATTCAAATTTAAGTATTAAACTGTAGATAAAATCATGCTTTAGAGCGAAAGCCTGCATGTCTAAAGATGAATGAGGGGGAAGTTAGAATGAATGTGTTTTGTAGGGTTCTCCACCTACACTTGAATTTTAAGAATGTTAAAGTAGCTCATCGAGTTGTAGAATGTCGAGTAAGGTGTGTCTATTTGGTCGTTGAATTCTAACAAATCATGGTGGTTAGGGGAAGTGTTGTAAGACTAAAACACGAATATTCCCGTTTGACACCACACATGGTGGAGAGCCAGGGTAAAGTTAAATTAATGTTTGAATACTTGAATGAATGTGAATTAAGCAGTAACTAAGGAAAATAAATCGTTTAAAAACAAAAAAAAAAAAAAACTTATTCAGTGTCAAGAAAGTGTAAATTATAATGTATTTAGAAAGATACTGATACTTATTCCTTCCAGATGCTGGAAGGAAAGAACAAGATTGATTGCTGAAGTCCAGGAAAAGGTTGCTGTAAGAAGAGAGAATTAAAAAAGTATCTACAGAAATTTAGTATACCTTTTGTGAGATAAGAGTTTTTTTTATGTAAACGAGGCTCTTAAATTTTAGTTCAGAATTGTAGAAACTTTTCAACAGGTCGTTTGTAGGACCTGCTTCCAAGTTTTCCAAATTCTGGCAGCGGCAAATGTAGGGTTTATATTTATTTTAACTAACATTTATTTTAAGTTTAAACTATCTTTCCTGTCAAGCCTTACTTTCCCCTGGAACTGCCAATGCCAGAGTATGTAAATTTTAGTAGAACGCGCAAGGATTCAAATTATCAGCGGAAGTATTCTGAATTAAATAGAAAGGAAACGAGTTCGAAGGTGTGCTTTCTTACTTCACGAGCGCGGAGGTGGCTAGTTAGAAATTGAAGAACCACGCGTTTCGGCCTGTGTGCTTGCCTCGGCAAATTGTTAATCTTTCAACGTGATATTCAGAGTTTGCTGAATTATCAGCGGTATTGTAAAACGCGGTGAGGTTAGTTACGTTTAGAGAGCCTCGTAGTTAGTCTTGTTATTATTCTTTTCAGGTTTCTTATTTTTATTTTACCGCCGGGTCGGCGTAGTTTGTGAGCGTGAAGAGCACGCATTTGTAATTTCTAAAGTTGAATAAAAAGGGATTTAAACCCTTCTCAAGACTTTGGTCTATTTCCAGTTCTCAGCAGTCACCACTTTGTTGCGTGCAGGTTGGAAGCGCGCAACTTTACAAACTGATTACTGATGTTTTTTGGTCAAACGGGTATATGGTGATAATGATTTTTTGAAAGTGTTAAATGAATTTCCTAATATTACGAGCCCCCCCATGTGCAAATGAACCTATAAAACATAATGTCTTTCATCATATTAAAACTTCTGGTCCACTAGTCTTTGCTAAACCACGTCATCTTCCCGCGGACAGGTTAAAAATAGCAGAATCAGAATTTCAAATATAATGCTTGAATATTTAGGTCACATGCGTCCATCGAACAGCAACTACTCCTCACCGCTTCATATGGTTCCTAAAAAGGAAAGTGGTGACTGGTGTCCTGTTGGCGATTATCGCGCCTTAAACGACCAGACTGTAAACGATCGGTACCCTATTCCCAGTATAGTTCACATTACGAGTGAGCTCAACAGTACTAAAATATTTTCTCACACAGAGTTAGCAAAAGCTTTTCAGCAGATTCCTATTGCACCAGAAGATATCCATAAAACAGCCATTTGTACCCCTTTTGGACTCTTCGAAATTGCTCGAGTGCAAGTCGGCCTATACAATGCTTCCAGTACATTTCAACGATTCATTGATGAAATTACTAGAGGTTTAGACGGTGTTTATGCCTTCATTGATGACATAATGACTGCATCCAAAACTCATGAGGAGCATATTCATCATTTGCGAACATTATTTGAAGGTCTTAATGATTATGGTCTTTCACTAAAACCATATAAATGCAATTTGGAAGCATCCTCCTTATATTTTCTAGGTTTACGAGTTTCAGGACTTTCACCCTTACCTGATTGAATTGATGCAATACAAAATTTTCCTAGACCAAATATACGATTAATCAGCTTCGTAGATTTCTTGGTATATACAATTTTTACCGTAGGTTTATTCTCATGGCTGCCCACATTTTAGGCCCACTGGTACAATTTTTAGGACATACAAACAAAAAAGAAATCTACTTGCCCATCTAAAAAAAAACTTGGAAATCCACTTGAATGGACTGAGAAAGCTGAAACAGCATTTTCAGAAGCAAAGCAAGCACTTCCTGAAGCAACCTTACTTAATAACCCGATTCCTGGTGCTAAATTGAGTGTGTGGATCGAAGAAACAGACTTAATTGGTAGCTCTCTTATGCAATTTTCAAATAACAATTGGGAACCAATAGCATTCTTGTCCATGAAATTCAGTTATTATTCGCATTCTGGAGTTTCAGCCAACATTGATTTAATTTCCAAGATTCGTTTGGCCTGTTATGAGAAAAGACATTGAAATGAAAGTCTGAAGTTGTGCCAAATGTCAGGGAGCTAAGGTCTTTAAACATACTAAAGCTCTGATTAACACATTTGCTCTACCTGATGCGCGTTTTTCTGACATAGTATACTTGGACATTATTGGTCCTCTACCACTTTCGGACGGCAATCAATATTGTCTGACTATTATTGATAGATTCACCCGATGACCTGAGGTTTTCCCTACGTCAGATATATGTCTGCTGAGACCACTGCCCATACCCTTTTGCACGGTTGGATCTCTAGATTTGGAATGCCCCTTACAATTACAACAGATTATGGACGAAATTTTGAATCGTCATTGTTTCGAGAATATATAAACATGCTAGGTAGTCACAGAATTAATTCAACTTCGTATCACCCTCAAAGCAATGGATAAGTCATTTTGAACACATGTAATAATGACCTTGTTCTGATATTGGAGACTTTGAACCTTATCACATACTTTTTCCAAGAACTACAAAATTTTTGCTTCTCCACAGCAGCTCTGAATTCTAATTCTTTTGCAAGGAACAAGTCATTTTGAACACATGTAATAATGACCTTGTTCTGCTATTGGAGACTTTGAACCTTATCGCATACTTTTTCCAAGAACTACAAAATTTTTGCTTCTCCACAGCAGCTCTGAATTCTAATTCTTTTGCAAGGAACAAGTTTGGTCGTCTTAAGAATTTAATTATTTTTTTTTTTCAAATAGTCTTTTAGTTTAAGGCTCAGATTAGATTTTATTATTTAGAGAAATCTATATAGAAACTTTTTTCGTTTTGTTGGTATTAAAAGTTTAGTGTAGCATAATCAGAGACCACCTGATTTTTTAGGGTTGTTTAAATGACAATTTGCTTTAAAATATATTTGATTTGCTCTTTATTTGTAATTGCGTTTGAATGTCGGATTTGCATATAATGGTTTTAGAGCAATTTTTTTTTGAAACGTCAATTTGCATGATGTAAAGTTTTATGGTTTTTTTGAGTAGTCAATTTGGCACGATGTTATGTTTTTTTTTTTTTCCCCAAGTGTTTCGAAAGCGTGTAGGGAAAATTCTGGTACATAAGAGGTTCGTTTTTATATGAATTTTAATGTCTTAGATGAAAATTTAAGTGAATCTTTTTTCGGTTTTTGATCTCAAATGAACCAGAACGAAAAATGTTTTGTAAACATATTAATCGACTTTTATGAAGCTTTAATTCATTTTCTCCTGATAAGGTCTGAATTAGAGTTTCAGTAAAAGGAGATTAATTTTTATAATTGTGTACATTTTCCCTTTCACTTTTATTTTTCGATTTTCTTCTACTATGAATTCTTATTTTAATTTTGATTTGTTTAGATATTGTGTTAAACCTCTTATACACGATTGCAAATATTAATACTGTTGAGAAATAGCTTTCTTTGCTTTGATTCCAATTTAATATTAACTTTAGATGCTTTAAGTTTATTTTACTTCAATTTTGCAGCTATAGTGCAGGATGGTTTTTTTTTTTTTTTTAAATTTGTTTTTAGTTTATTATGTTTCCTTTTAGATATATATACATACATATACTATGTCTAAGACATCTTATCCAAAAAATTTTAAAATGCTTTTGGTTTATATCTATACTGCAAATTAGGTACGACAGTTCAAGAGAGAATTACAATTGCAATGTCTGAAATTTTATCTTACAAAAATATTTATGCGGCCACTCAAATGGAAGAATATTTATTCTCAAGCAGTGTTAAAAGTTTTGCACATATACATTCCAAACTTCCATAGACTTTTATAAATAATTGTAGCAAATAAGATGATGACAGTCTCATACATGCACCACTTATTAGTCACTATCACTGTCATCGCAATGACCTCGAATAGTTTTTGGCTTAAAAGTAATAAAAGACTTTTTCACCTGCTTGCTAGTACCAGGAGGAGAAGTTAAATCACCACTATAATTAATTACTTCAGCTTGAGCAATACGCCATTCTAATATTTCAGTAGAAAAATCATCAACACCGCCAAGATCATCAAATCCAACAATAACATCAATGCTTTTAGCATCTTTGCAGAGCACGATTGTCGGCAAAACACGTATTTTCAAACGCTGAGTAAGAAATGGTGACTTTTCAGCATCAATTTTGCAAAATTTAGTTTCAATATGCTTTGGTGCCAAATCTGTGAGATGTTTGTCAACAATAGCGCAACGCATTGTGCTAGAGCGATAAAAGTGGCATACAAGGTTTTCACTTTTCTTGCAAACATCAAAAAATTCTTTCTCACTAGCCAGTTCACTATATTGTCCATGTCCATTAGCAATCCATTCATCTTTTTTCTTCATTTGTTTCTTCAAAGCAGCAGCTCTTTTCCGCTGAAGGGCTTGAAGATCTTCATCTTCCAGCTTGTCAAGTTTCTCAATGGCAGCATCTACCTGCTCTTCAATCAGTTTGGTAGCTTGCAGCACGCTTTCTTCCAGATTGGTGGGATCCATTCTGAAAGTGCAAGAAGAAAAGTAAGTACATAGACTTACTTTTGAAGCATGAAACTGCTTCTTTTTAAGTAGAATTTTTGGTTTTTTCTGATTATCTGCAACCCCATATAAAGTATTTTTGCTGTGTCATCAAAATGCATTTATGTTGCAATCGAAGGATGTATGCATGCACAGCATATGGCAAATGCTTTAGCATTTAATGAATATTTTTTTCCTTTTAAGGAATTGCAGTGGGACTGTGGAGTTTTTCGCCTGATGTAAAAGAAAGCGTTGCATTTTTTTCAGAAATACGGCATTTTGCCTAACAGTACAGAATAAAAAAATTCACATTCCATGAAGTGGTACTTCATAAATGATTAGATTTCATGGACCAAAATTCATACACTGATGTCGAATTTGTGAAATTCTGTTTTTTTTTACAGCATAAACAGCTTGCTGTATACATGGAGAGAATGTAAATCTGGGTAGTGCCAAATTGCTGCATTTCTCTGATTTTTTTTTAACCTAAACCAGATTGTTGTATACATGGGGAGAACACAGCAAAACAAAGATGCGTGTTTTATTACAGATATTTCTTGCATTTTAATTTTGTTCCTCTTTCTTAGCGTGTAACCATTTTTTAAAGTTATTGTCTTTTGCCTCTTAGTTTGGCAAAAAATTAGTTACTAGTGGTTGGCAACTTTTTGGGAGCTGGGTGCGGATAATCAGAAAATATTCAATTGTTTTAATGTATCTGATATTTAAACTAAACAAAAAAACAAATTATTACTTTTGATCTCCCAGAATTAGTGATTATATTTCAGCTCAGCTAAGCCATAGCTGCCAAACTTGAAATATGAAAACAACAGCATTTATATGCTACCACAATCACCTTAGTAGAAGTCGCCAGATTTTCAGAATGTGCCAAATTCTGACAACCATGTTCATAGTAATCCTTTAGTGATGCAACCTCGCCATTTTTATACCTTTCTTTTAGTTGTACTCCATGTTCCATCGGATTTTATAAACAAAGCATATTTTTTTTGGCCTTAATTTTAAACTATGTGCTTGTGGAATTTGCCAGCAATGGAAGAAACTGTGATAAAATTTCTCAGGAACACAGAATTTTGCCAACTCCCTACCAAAGAGTCTGTAAATCTCCTATGATTTTTAAGTGAAAACAGGTTGCCATGCATTTGAAGAGAACAGGGCTTAATTACAAAAAAATTTGGAGATGAATGTGTTTTATTTTTTCTTAATTTATCATGTAACCCTCATTTGATAATTAAAATTTGTATTTTAAATTGCTAAATAATGTTGACATTTCATTTGATAATGTTTGTCAACTGTCAGTAGTTTGGGAATCATTTTTAAAACGGTCACAAAAAAAAGCAACTTGCATCTGGTAATTAACTTTTACCTTTTCATCCATAAAAAACACCAAATTGCGACAGGATGTTTGTGGGTTTTTTTTCCCATGGCAAAGCCATCCCCCCCACCCCCCCCCCAAAAAAACTCTATACTTAAATTTGCTTTATAATATATAATTCAAATATTTATGATGATTCTTATGCAAACTATATTAATATTTAATTATTCTAATTTTTTTTTTTTACTAATTTTATTTTGTAATTTTCTTATACCTTCATCCTGAGCAGGAAAGAAAAGCTATATACAACTCTGTCGATAAACTTAGAAATGTTTTGTATACCATACAAACCTCTAAACCATATCTGAATTTTTATCTTTAGAGACCTCAAATCTGAATTTTTATCTTTAGAGGTTGGCATGGTTTTGTATACCATGCCAACCTCTAAAGATAAAAATTCAGAACACGAAGAATTAATATCATGCTTTGATATTAAAAAAATGACAATTTATACAAATAGAAAAAAGGAAATTGTACTTACATTAGTAAATCTCAATTAAGTAGTAACTAAAAAATTTATTAGGAAACATAAAACAAGAACTTAATGTTACAACAAAAAAATTTATTGCAATCAAATTTAGAGTGCATTTTTTGGCTTTAGCCAAAAATTCTTTGGAAAATTTCCTATCATAACAATTAGTTTCCTCATAACATTTAGCAATTAAATGTTTTTCTAGAGGTTTTGGGTGAAATTGAAGAACAAAACATAGTTTTGCTTTTTCTTCACAACACTGAAGACTCTCTCGCACTCAGCATTCTGTGTGGAATTACGAGAATAGCACATAAAACTCTTGCTAGTCTCATGCTCTTTCTAGTAGTTTGATATTGGGATGTTAAGTTGTTTCAACTCATTAATTACCAAGGAGGCAATATTTCCCCCCGTAGCGTCTCCATTTAAAATGGAAGACGCAAAAGATAGTTTCGTTTCATTAGAAACATCACAGAAATATGTGACAACGATGGGATAAAGCTTCCAATGGCTGTCGTTGCTGCCATCGATGACATCGGCATCCGAATTTGAAAAAAAATCATCCACTTTCTTTGACGTTGTCGAAGCCGAAGCATTAACACCATGCTTTTTAGACTTAACATGCTTCACGATGTCGCTTCTTCCACCGTGACTTATTATGAAGTCACACACGCACACGTTGCAAAATGCATAGTTATTTCCTTTGAAGGATTCTTAATTGTTGGAAATTCGGCTTTGTAGGCAGGCCGAAAATATTGAGAATACGGTTTTTTTAAAACTCATTTCGTAACAACGATGTATTAAGAAAATTCGTAGCATGTGCAAACAAACAAACAAACAAAAAAAAAAAAAAAAAAAAAAAAAAAAAAAAAAAAAACACTAGAATGCGACAAAATCCACGCTCGCCGAGTAATTCCCTTGCTGCTGAAGCGAACGAGAAAAAAATAATCTGGCACGCACAAAGAAAAGAGTGAAACAAGTTCAGCGCATTGGATTGGCCGGTTAAGTGGCGAGTTGCGAGAAACCGCAGGTTACTGGATTCGAAGTATTCGGTAGTTGGCGGTAAAACACGATGCAATTGGCGAAAAATTCTAAAATTTTGACAAAAATCACTAAAAACACTTGAAAAAGGAAAAAAAAATCGTAAAAAATGGATTACGATCGTAAAATCGTAAAGACAAACTCATTTTCGTAAAAATTCGTAAAAGTTGGCAGGTATGGTATACTGTTGTAAAACAATATTAAATTCAAATATTAATTTATTAAACACTTTGAATCATCATAAAAAGTTCTATAGATGTTTACATTTTCTTTAGAACGAAAACAATTCAGATGAAATAAAATTTAATAAGTAAAATTGGCTCTCTGATTTTACTTATTAAATCTCTGCACCTCCTGAAAAGTATTCACAAGGCAACACACTATGCTGCTAAAAGAGGCAACCTATGACATTCTGTAAACGATTTCACATAGAAACTTAAATATGCACACATGCAGGCACAGCAGACACAAGCGATGTTTACTTAATGTTCCATTTCCTCCTTCTAATCTGATTCCCATTAGTTTTTTGTTGCACTGAGTACATTTCCTTTCCTTGAACAGAATCAAAATGGGACTCTGGAGTTGGCCAGTTGATGAAAAGAAAGCACTGCATTTCTTTCGAAATATAACATTTAGCCCAACAATACAGAATAAAAAAAATTCACAATCCCATGAAGTTGTGTATGATGATTAAAACCTCCTGGAAGATTCCAGAAAATCTAAGTGTTTTATTATGAATGTTTTTTTGCAGTTTAAAATTAGTTAATCGGTTATTGTTTTAAATAATTCTTAGTGCTGTTTCATTTTTGAAAATGGCTGTTGTCTTTCGTGTCACAGCAAAAACTTGGCAGTTGACGATTTTTTGAAAGGGGATATAGATAATCAGAAAGTAATAAACAACTATGCTGAAAATCACTGGAGGTTAGGAGAACAAAAGGTACTGTTCTGTTATCAAGGGCAGATTCAGAAATGTATGTATGTATATATGTAAGTACGAATGTATGTGTGTGTATACATATACGTAGGCTGCCTGAAAAGTTTCCGACCAAACAAAGAAGGAAGATATTTTTTCTCTAAAATTCATTTTATTTTTCGAAACAGTCTCCTTGTAAGTCTATATATTTCTTCCACCGATACTCCCATCCTTTTAACTTGCCCAAATATTATGCAAAACCTTTCGCTGTAATGTCTCCTCATTTGACGAAAATCTTTGTCCTACAACTCCTTCTTTTAGAGCTTAGGGAACAAAAAAGTCACTTGGTGCCAGATCTGGCGAACAGGGCGGGTGGTCAAGCAGTTCAAATCGTAATTTATGGATTTTCGCCATTACAACCATTGAGGTGTGAGATGGAGCATTGTCTTGGTGGGAAAAAAAAAAAAAAAAAAAAATTTTGTTTTGCAAATGTGGCCATTTTCCCGCAATTTCTGCCTTTAGCTTGTCAAGTAACATCGCATAGTATGCTCCGGTAATGGTTTTAACTTTTCAAGATAATCTACTAAGACAATCCCATGGCTATCCTAGAAAACTGTTGCCATCACTTACCCAGGAGAAGAAATATTTTTTGCCATTTTTGGAGCTGATTTTCCCTTTGCTGTCCACTGTTTTGACTGTGTTTTAGTTTCTGGGCTGTAATGATGAATCCAGTTTTCATGTACAGTGATTAATAGTCGAAAAAACTCCTAATTTATTGCGCCAACAGAACGGTGGAAATGTTCATTCGGACACGTTTTCGGTCCAAAGTGAGCAAACGCGGCACCTAATATACAGCTAGCTTGCACATACCTATATCTTGGTTCATTATATGGGAAACACGTTCTTTGGACATGCTAAGAGCCTCCTCGATCTTGGTCGTTCAGCAACATTTGGTAGATTTTGTTTTCATGATGAGCAATGAGTTTTTTGGGTGATGTTTTTGTCAGTGGTTGCACTTTTTGGCCGTCCTGAACGTTCATCGTCACCTAAGGCGCTACGGCTATTGTATCAATTCAGCTACCCAAAATTTCACAGTAGTAAATGATGGTGCAGAGTCCTCGTACACAGTGCCCAACTCCTCTTTAATCTGAATAGGCGTATTACCTTTCAAAAACA